GTGGGGGGAGGGGGGAGGGGGGTGTAAGGTGAATAGGGGTTGTTCTCGTCGGGCTCTACGCTTTTACGATAACTCGACCACTTTACTAGCGAAGAAGCCCAGTGACTATGTACGATCACCTAAGGGCATTCACGCCCCTTTAGCAGTATTTCACAGCAACCCCTGTGGTCAGCTCGTTCGAAGGTTCTCGAACGAAGGTTACCCTTCGATCGTTCTTATTTCTCTTTTATCCTATTCTGCCCCCCTTCGAACTCCTCTTTGCAATTCTACTTTCACGTGAAAAATAATTTACATACACCCCGTCGGATGAAGCTGTAAAAAATTGTAGCACCCTGTATCCGCAAAGTAAATCACTCCGAATCTCTAATAATCGAATGGCATGCGATATTCTCGTGGACCTAGGATGCAAGTTATTTACACTCCACTTTGTGACCTATAGTGAATGGGGAAATTTTCCATTGTAAGATACATAGAAATTCTGCTACGTCGTTGAAGTGGACAGAAAATGAATTAGGCAGACAATATAACCTAAAATTTACGTAACGCATCGATATGGTTGGTAATGCAAATGATATTGGTATTACCGATATTGAATTACACAAGCAATCAATGTTGTTCATGTAAATATATCCAATTTGTATTAAAGCTATGATAATATTAGACTCCTGTGTTGCAAATGTTTACGTGTTTCCTGTAACTGCCAATATTACCCAGAATGCACCGCGTCCTCGTAATACTTCGCACTCTAGTCGACACTTGTCCCGCGTAATCGTTCGCGCTAACGAGAAGTAGACGTTGTTTTGAGAATATTGTAAAATTATTGGATATGAAGGAAAAAAAAATCTTGTAAAAATTCACAAAGATCTATTTCGTATTGTAAAATTAATTCCAGGTATTTCAATGAAAATGATGTATTTCAAAAAAAAAAAGAATTTCTTCTTTTCGATACTTTTGACATTTGTGATGAATTATCGTAAATACGTATGCAGATCGATCCGACGCATATTTCGGATAAATATATTTTGAATTAATGATTATACTGGATAGATGGGAACATTAATATATTGAGAGTATTCATAGAGGAGCTACGAGCTTGGGACATTCATATCCTTTTCAGAGTACTATAGTTAGTCGGTACTGAGTATAGCCAATTTTCGATCTCTACCTTCTGCTGGAAAATTTCAAAAATAAGGGAGGCCAAAAAACGCCCCTCTGAGACGCCACATAGCAGGCTGACCCTTTTACGAAAATTATTAGGTTAGAATCGAAGAGCTGTGGGGCTATGATCAAAGTGATAAAGTGTCTTATCAGCAATAGCTATTTCTAGCGTATAAAGAGGTTGCGCGACCGGAACATGTTTCTTTTTCAACGTCAATGAGAAAATAATTTAATTGACTTTGGCTCCAGCACGTGATTCCCATTTCGGAGATGGCGAATAATTTTGTCAGGGAACAAAAGTGCCAGGCTGTATTATTTAATATAATTCATTAATTCGAAAATTAATCGTACTCTGTTGCCGATAGGTCTTTCTCTGCGAGGGACGACTAAAAACCTTGGGGCGAATAAAGAAAAGAAGGTAAGAAAAACCAGACAAGACGCGAGTCAGGCTGGGTAACTGTGAAAAAGCTAATTTTACAGCATAACTTTGTATACCCTTAGTCTCGTGAGATTTTTATGAATATTTTCTAGAACCAGCGGCCATTAATTATGTCCCACTCTTGTTCTCCCTGCTGCACCCACTAATGCCACTCACAGTGGGAAAGACAGAAGTTCGTGAGCACAGACAATTTTCTGTAGACACTTATTCAAAGGAAGCCAAGTGCCTGCGCAGAAGGAATATAAAGATAAAGAAATTGTTGTTAATTATCAAACGTACAAAACTGTTCTAAATACGTAGTATTAGAATTTAAAAAGAAGTAAAAATGTCTACAGTCACTTTCTTCAAGTACAATATATGTCCTACGTGTAGAACATAAGCCCTACATTAGCAGAAAGTACACGATGAATTATTTATTTGAACAAAAATACGGAAAGAGTCGCAAAAGTGTAAGGATAAATCAGACGGCCATATTGTGCCACGACGCCAGGGAGGTTCGATATAAAAAAAATGCATAGATACAGGGTGCACCAACAATTTTCAAAAATTACCTGTAATGCAAGATCCATACACATAGTAGTTCATTTGACGCATATCTTGAACCTGGCCTGCCCACTCACGAACCGCAGTCAACTTAACGGATTGCAGCTACTACAGCAATGTGAAGATACGAAATAATCCTTAAATAATTTATGGAAGACGAATTCGGCGCGTTCGCGATAGGTCTCTAGTGTACGTATTCAAAAAAAAAGCCTATACACACCAGGCGCCTTTTACTGTTTTCAATTATGTATTTTTACTTACATCCAGCCGTGACGGCAGCCTCGGAGAAAGATATTCCGCTTCGTCAAAAATGCATGCTCTATACGTACGAGCGACTGACTCGAGTAGTAGCACCATAACCGAGGCAACCGAACGCGACTAGCGCAGTAAAAGAAAACGAATGACGCGCACTTTGAGGGTTAAGAGTTTACAGACGGCGAATTCGGAGTGGCTCTTGGACTTATCGTAGCCTATTGTCAATTTCTACCGAAAGGTCGTCCGAAGGTCTGGTGGTCGCGCTCGACGTGACGTGGTGGAAGGGGTTTGAGACACCCCCCCCCCCCCCCCCCCCGGCC